GGAAGCAGCTGATCAGTGATTCTCTCTCATCAATGATTCTCATCATTGATGTTTCTATCTCTCCTCCCTTCCTCTCTAAAATCAATAAATATATTTAAAAAAAAAAAGAATAGCACATACATAACTCACAAGTCTATTATGACAAAATAAAAAAAAATTAAGGGGATTTACAAACATGAAAGGTGCTTTGTATGATAATCTCTGCATTTGCACTGCCCTCTTTACAATCATGCGCTGCAACGCATATATGAAGGCGGTCCCATCTACACTAATAAAAGAGAAACATGAAAATTGGTGTCACTCCGCTATGCCCACCAGCCAATCAGGGTGGATATGCAAATTAACCCAACAAAGATGGCAGTTAATTTGCATATGCAGGCACCCAGGGAAGACTGAAGGCTGAAGACGACTGAAGAGTCTTGGCTTCTCTGCTGCAGCTGAAGCGAAGGCCTGGGTCCCAGGTGCCAGAGGAAAACTGGTGCCAGAAGCCAGGGGAAGGAAGGCCTATTGCACGAATCTCTTCGTGTAATGGGCCTCTAGTTAGATTATAATGAAGCTGAAAATTTTCTATTGCCTAGTGATGTCATAATGTCATAGCACAACACATTACATAAATACCATTGTGTTACAGTTGCCTACGGTATTCAGTACAGTAATGTGCCATATAGGTTTGTAGCATGTACTGTAGAGGGATAGAATTTGTGACCCCAAAATATGTCTATTTGGCATAAGGATTGTTTTAGGCCAGTTAATTTGAACAAACAGCTGACATGGGAGAAACTCTGAAAACCAAGTAGAAGTTACTCTTTGTAAAAAAAAAACATTTACTACATTGTAAGGGAAATCTGCACTTGTAAGGGTGTATGCCTTGCTATACCAGGAGTTATCTATAGAAACTCTTATCATGCTAAAGGCCAAGACTTAAATCTGTACAACAACATTACCCTTTTTTTTTACTGTGTTTTTCCTGATAACCTCATATAACTCACTCCTCCCACCCTCAACATCTTTTCAGCTGAAGATGGTATTTAAGGTGGTGGCTTCAACCATTTTGGTGAATTACTCAACTTTCTTGGGTCTCTCCCAAGTATACTGGAGGTATACATGTTATTAAACTTTTGTTTGTTTTTATACTATTAATCTGTCTTTTAATACAGGGATGCCTCAGTCAAGAACCCAGAAAGGTAAAAGGAAAATTATTTTCTCTCCCCTACAGAGCAATAGGCTATACCAGTGGTTCCCAATGTGGGGCACACATCCCACAGGGGGGCAATTTGATTTTTAAGGTGGGCAATTCAAGAATGAGTTATTAACAGTGAATTTTTTGCATTTCTTATGGTTCTAAGGGCCTCATATACAGTATATAAATATATGTTTTGACATGCATTTCAGTTCTCTATTATGTTTTGAAACTTTGCTATTTTTTCATATCACTTCATATTATTATTTTTTAATAATTTATTAGTGATTTCTTCCTCAGTACTTCAACTGTCCTTTTATTCTTTTATTTTCTCTTTCATGGCTGCCATGTTCTTTTGAAGCTTGTTTAGACCAAGTTAATGGCCTTTTAGGCTTTCTCCATGTGAACAGGTGCTCACTTTTTGAATAATAAGAGTTATATGTCACGGGGGTGGGGGGGCATCAGGATTTTAGAGATGGTTAGGTGGGGCATGGCCAAAAAAAGGTTGGGAACTACTGGGCTGTACCTATAGCCTAGGTGTGTAGTAGACTATACCATCTAGATTTGTGTAAGTGCACTCTGATGTTCAAACAAGAAAATCGCCTAACAATGCATTTCTCAAAATGTACCTCCATCATTAAGCAGGGTATGGTTGTACTAGTGTTGGCTTTATTTCATGTTTATTTAACAAATATTTATTGAACATTGATCTTGTGCTAGTGTTAGTAGGGAAACCACACCAGAATGTTACCAACAATTGGATCTGGGTTCAGCAACCTCGGTACTTGAGTTCTGGTAAGAAAGAATTCAGAGCCAAGACTCAAATACAAGTAAAAGTTAGAAAGTCACAGAGGTAGAAAAAGTGAGCCAGTTAGGCTGCATGGGCTCAAGGAACAAGTTACAGAGGCAAAAGAAGAACCCTGGGAACTTAGGAGAAAGAGACCAAGGATAATGCTCCTGGTGGAAGGGGAGGGGGGAAAGCGGGCACGCTCAAGGGCAGGGGAGGGGAAGCAGAGGGAGATGGGAAAGTAGAACACTCTGAGTCTTTTCTGAGTCCTTTGTCTGAAGGGGTTTTATCCATTTCCCAAAGACAGGGATTTTAGGGGACATCTCAGAGGAGGATCTGAACAGAATTTTATCAGCTTTCTAGGTGTATCCTCTCTCATCATGGTCTCCACTGATTAGTAGTGCCAGGGCCGGGGGTCATTTGTCATCACAGCTGGTCCTGATGTCAGCCTTGGCATCACCCTGCCTGGCCTTGTTGTTTTTTGGGGGGCCTGGAGCTGAAACTGTTGTAATGTACCCCGCGAATCACAGAAGGACGCCTCAAGAAGTCGAATTAAAGAGTCACATTTATTGCAATCCGGGACTATGAGGGGCCATTCCCAAATCTCATAGCAATAAGATGGTGGCAAAACTAGACTTATATAGGCAAAAATCACAAAGGTATTGATTACATCCCAGGGTTTGGAATGTGGCACCTGGCTCCCAAAAAAGCAGGTTACAGAAGCAGAGTTAAGCATGTTAATTACAGTTTCGGGTCTCGGGGTCACTGAATTGACAGAAATACATTATCTAGAGTTCTTGGGTAACCTGGGTTAAACTTAGGCATGTTATCTAAATTACAGTTTTGGGTCTCCTGACCACTGAGCTGTCAGGACAATTTAGAGTAATTGTGCTGTCCTGGTCTCAGGACCACTGAGGCAGCTGGAACGCACCACCTGTGGCCACTAAAACAATTTAGGGTAATTGTGCTGTCCTGTTTCCAGGTACAGAAGAATGTGCTCTCTAAGACCAGTATGATAACAATCAATGGAATAGTCATTCAATCGATAAGGCATTCAATTGAATGGGATGACTTATACAATTTAGAAAATCAAAGTAACCTGTCCATTGTTAAACAAAGCAAATAGGTACCATACTTCAGAACATAGCTGAGGCCTAGATGTTATCTCAGGGCTTAATGCTCAAGGGAGTCATATGGTGCTATTCTCTGGCCCCCTTGTTTTTCCTCTTGGGGGAGGAGAGGGTCTACCACATGACTAGTGACATGCCAGCGGAGGAAAGATCGGGAGAGAGTCTGAACTGCATGACCAGACATGCTAGGGGAGGGAAGGTCACTCTGGGGGACAAGGTCCCACCCCAGTTTTGCCCATTCCACCCGGCAGCTTTCTGTACTGGCCTGCTGTTTCTATTCTACTCATGCCTGTCTAATTGCCTAGGAGCTGGAGATGCAAGGATAAACAAAATTTAGTTCCTTCCTTCATAGAAGTTACATTCTAATGAGCACTGTGGGTCAAAGTTGTTTAAAAAATTCAATCAAGTAAATTTTTAAGAATATGTTTTTATTGATTTTAGAGAGAGAGGGGAGGAAGAGAGAGAGATAGAAACATCAGTCAATCGGCTGCCTCTGGCACGCCCCTACTGGGGATTGAGCCCACAATCCAGGCATGTGCTCTGACCCAGAATTGAACTGTGACCTCCTGGTTCATAGGCCAATGATCAACCACTGAGCCACACCAGCCTGGCTCATCTGAGTAAATCTGAAGATCTAATTGGCTTTATTAAATGATTCACTGGGGCAACATCCCATGTAGCAACAAGGATGCTTCGAAGGGGTTGTATGAAATGGAGCTATTAACAAAAGAAGAAACTGATGTTTTTTAGACCAGGACTTCTTTTAGGGAGAGAGGAGTGCAAGGGTTTTTATCATGCAGATTGCCTTTTCATTCTTGGGGAGGGGGTGGGTAGGTAGGGGGGAAACATGACAGATTTACCTTATTTGTGCTTGACCAGAAAATTCCAGACTTTATTAAGATTACATTTCTGGGAGAGGTTGAAATTGCAATTAAATTGGGTATTAAAACTAGGTTTGATATGGCTTTTACACTGAGTGGTACTATTTTGGGGCCGTGGTTTTCTCTTTAAAAAGGTAAAAGGAATTTGAAAGTCATTACCTACCCAGTCCCATCACTGCATAGAATAGATGCCGGAGGAGCCAGCAGTATTTCACCTTTCCATGCTTTTTTGCTCCTCACTGCCAAGCTCCTCATTGCCCTTCACCCCACACAGCAGTCCTTTCCCCTCCGGGGAATATTATATAAGTAATATTTAAAAGATTGGGCCCTTTCTGCAAGTAATGGCAACAGCTTTTCTTATAGTCTCTGGGTGGACGGATAACAGGTCCAGTTTATTCCCTCTTGTATTGTACCAGTAGTAGAGATCCTGGTAATTCTATATTTATATAAATATATATATTTCAGAGAGGAAGGGAGAGGGACAGATAGAAACATCAATGAGAGAGAACCAATGATTGGCTGCCTCCTGCATGCCCACTACTGGGATTGAGCCCACAACCCAAGCATGTCCCCTTGACTGGAATCGAACCCGGGACCATTCAGTCCTCAGGCCGACACTCTATCCACTGACCAAACCAGCTAGGGCTGGTAATTCTTTTTTTCTTCCTGGCACTGAAAAGTCACATAGCTTCCAGGGTCCCAGGTTTCTGGGAGGGTCCTATAGCTCATCTTAAGTTGGAGGGTGAGACGGGTAGGGTTAGGCGGGTCCCTAAAATTATGTGGTCCATGCCCGGTTCTCCACCTTCCTCTGTGCTCTTTGGAGGACGGCACATGCAGGGCACCCAGGAAGGCCGGGAGTGGCATTGTAAGCACCCCGCTGGGGGTGGGAGTGACTGGGAACCCTCTGAGGGAAGGAATTACGCCATCGGCACGCCCACTGTGCAGGGAGGATGGGGCGGGGCTCCACTCGCCGGCGGAGGGCGGGCTTGCGTCGGCTAAGTGAAGCGATTGGCTCTGCCTAGGGGAGGCGGCCCTTTTCCGCTGAACGCCGGAAGTTGTTCTCCCCTCCTGCCAGTGGGCCATGGAGTTGGTGGCACAGTAACGTCTGAGGTGTGAGGATTGCGGGCCGGCGGCCATGGAGGCCGTGCTAAACGAGCTGGTGTCTGTGGACGACCTGCTGGTGAGGCCTGGCCCAGAGGGAGGGAGAGGAAAGGTTCGGGCGGGCGGGTCCTGAGAAGAATCGGATAGGGGCCAAACCCTTTTCTCATCATCAGCCTTCCCTAGTGACGCTGAACTACTACTCCCGGCAGCCTTTGCAGCGTCCGTCTCCTGCCGAGATGTTCCATTTTGCCCCAGAGACTAATGGGACTTGTAGTTTCTTACGCCACCACGCCTCAGACTCAAGGCCTGGAGTCTGGCTTGGAAAGACTGATGGGTTCTGGGTGCGTGCAACAGTTAGGTCAGAGTCCTAGCCTGGTTTAGAGTGCTCCCTCGGTGGCGACCACCATAAAGTTTCATATGTTATTCACTGTATCTGGCACGGTGCTAAGTACATCGCAGGCGGTATCTCAATCTTTGAGTTATGAGAGGTAGGCAGCATCTTGTTCCCGTTTTGCAGATAAGAAAAAGTCCAGACTCGGCAAAGCGGGACGGGATGGGGGAAGCAGTCTCCGACGAGGGACTGTGTGGGCTGCTGAGCAGTTCTGACTGGTGTTGAACAGCATGTTTACTGTTTAGCCGCTCGGGGTCACTTGCTCCGGGAGCGGTGCCTGGAACCGCCACCAGGTGGCATCTCCACTCAGTACCAGTAGGGGGAGGGAGCGGGGATGGGGGTGGGGTGGGGTGGATGGGGGGGTGGGAGACTGTCCAGAGACATGCCGCCCACAAGAAACTGAAAGCCTGGGTCCCAGAGATGGAGATAGAACTTGTGGGGCCAGGTATGAAGACCCGCAAGGGAAATATGGCAGAGACTGGGAAGGATGGAGTGTAACTGGGAAATGGACACAGGGTCCTGATAGAGAATGGTTTGCCCTCTTCGTTTCTAAATGACTCCTCTCCTCTCCTATGGCAGAAGTTTGAAAAGAAATTTCAGTCTGAGAAGGCAGCAGGCTCGGTGTCCAAGAGCACGCAGTTTGAGTATGCCTGGTGCTTGGTGCGAAGCAAGTACAACGATGACATCCGTAAAGGCATTGCACTGCTGGAGGGTGAGGTGCCAGGCTACCCTACTCCCCTCCCCAACTGCAATCGGGGTCTTCCCCTCTGTCCTGCCATTGGTCATTCCCTCCCTCCATCTCAAGTGGTGGGATTCTTTTTCAACATGGGACCCTGTATTACAGACACCTAACAGTTATTTTACAGGAAACTCACTGTAACAAAGGACTGTACACATTAGCCTGGCTTCCAGTGTACTTTGGGCTAATTACCACCTCATTGTTTTGCCAAACAGTCAGACCATGTCAGTTTCCACAGGACTTTGATGATCTGGTAATCTAACCATAAAGAAAGTGACTTGTCTGAAGGCCTACAGCTACTAATGGCTGAATTAGGACTAGAGGCTCCTATCTGCCGTGTCTCAGTCCTGTGCTCTTTGCCCCCCACCATGTTGCTTATTCAGCAGCTGTTGAAACCTTTTGTGAGGGTGGCATGGAAGAGGTGCAGAAGACAGTCCCAAAAACCTGTGAGCAAATGGTGCTTTTTTGATTGGAATCTTATTTACCATTGTTTTGGGATGGGTCACCATTTGTCAGAGGCCACAGTATTTGACCTTTAAATTTCTTTGAACTCCCTCTGTCTTGGTCAAGTAATTGTAAATAAGAAAACAGTCAGTGTACTAGCAAAGAATGCCTATTATAAATCTATAAAAATTCTTAGTGCAAATAATCTTACCCTACATTTGTCTGATTTGCCAATTCAGATTTTTTTAAGGTTTCCTCTACAACAGGGCACAGCTGTAGAAGAAGTGGTCTCTAAGAGGTTGCCAGTCTAGTTGAGGAGATAGTACAGACACTTGGGAAGATTTATCAACACCCACGAAACTACTCAGCAACAAATTCTAGGGCTTAGAGTCCAGTTGAACACATAAGCCTCTGGGAAGTCACTGAATTAAGAGTCAGGTGGTGGTATTCAGAAAAGGCTAATTGAAGGTGAGTTTTCACTTGATTTTTTAAAAGGGGGGTGGGGTGGGGAGTACACACTTTTAACACTTATTTGGGCAACTAGAAACTGTAGTTGAAACAACAGATGTCAAAACTGAGTAGAGATGCCTCTTGGCTTTTCCAGTGCCTTGATTTCCTTTCAGTTACTTGGATGAACCAGGACTGACTGTAGTATTGGTACCAGAGTGTTGATCACCAGGGTGTTCGGGCAGCCTGGGTTCGTGCTGCCCGTAGGTCTGACTAGAAGCCAAATGTGACTTGAGCTGAAACAGGCTCAGGACTTTCCCCAGGATTGGATAGGCGTTCAGAGAGTAGAAAGGGTCTCAGACACAAGTACTAGGAAAAGAGAGAAGTGTTTTCATCCTTTCCTCTTCCCTCCTCCCCAGAGCTGTTGCTCAAAGGGAGCAAAGAGGAGCAGCGGGATTATGTCTTCTACCTGGCTGTGGGGAACTACCGGCTCAAGGTAAGGCGGGGAGCTCCCTTTCCACGCCATCCTACTTGGATGGGCCAGAGCCCACCCTCTCCTTTCTCTTCAAGGTAGAGCCTAAAGAGGGCAGTAGGCAGGGGGTGGTATCGGGTACAGAGGTGCAGCGTGACAGCAGGTCAGGATGCTGAGGGAAGGTGAGAGACAGAGGATCAGGGTGCTGAGGGTGTGGGGAAAAGGTGACGTCAGGATTGGGGTGCAGCCCCGGGCCTTGGGTTGTTATCTCCCCTAGCTTATCATCCCCACACAGTTGGGGTTGTTTGTGGACTCTACTCCATTGGGTGGGGCTGGAGTGAGGGAAGGGGGTGGAGGTAGGAGGAGGAGCCCCCAGGGCAAGTGAAGGGAAGGCCCCTCTGATGGGCAGGAGCGCTGAAATGCTGAGGGGTGTATGTGTGTTTTCCGAGTGCAGGAATATGAAAAGGCCCTAAAGTATGTGCGAGGGCTGCTGCAGACAGAACCCCAGAACAACCAGGCCAAAGAACTGGAGCGGCTCATTGACAAGGCCATGAAGAAAGGTGAACGCCCTCCCCTCTGTCTTTCTCCACTCTCGACTCTCCCGTCTCGCTGGCCCCCATCATCCCTAGGTCCTTCTAACCATTGGTGTAGTCCTCTTTCCCTCTCCCCACCCCGTGCCTGGGCCCTCTGGTCACTCTTTAAATGACTCCCCCTCCCAGCAATTCCTCAAAACCCCAGAAGCCTTTGTCCAGCCCTTGGAGTCCCGCACCCCGTGCATCCAGGTGGAGAGGCACAGCTGTTGAGGAGCAGTGGGCAGGAAGAAGATAGTAGCCAGGGTCCTAGTGGGCGGGGGCTCAGCTCCTGACAATTTCCCTTTTCTTCTCCCCAGATGGACTGGTGGGCATGGCCATTGTTGGAGGCATGGCCCTGGGTGTGGCGGGACTGGCTGGACTCATCGGACTTGCTGTATCCAAGTCCAAATCCTGAATGAGACTGCACCTCTGCCTCTGCCCAGGGATACATGGGAGCCCATGGAGAACACTCAGAGAGGGCCCATCCATTCTCGCTGCGTCCCTTTCTTCTCCTGCACCCTGTCACTGTCCTCTGTGGCCTCAACCTCCTCTCCCCAAGATCTGTCCTCTAGCCCCAGATCGTGTGCTTTAGGATGAGTGTAAATAAAATTGGGCTTTGACTTGCGAACCTCTGTGTCTGTGTTGAAAAAAGGGCAGGTTCCCTTGGGCCCAGAAGTTGGGGTAACACGTGCTCCTTTCCTGCTCTTTGTTCTTCTATTACCTCCGTGCTGGTATAGGGTTCTCCTTTGTTTGCAGAGCTGCCCAGATCCCACGCCCTTCCTCCCTCAACCCCACCAAAGCCACGTGGCCTCCACACAGCCCTCGGATCCTGAGAGAAAGTGACAGGAGGTGGGACAGGTTTGGATTTATGTCTCCTGTCTCCTCTGACCCACTCAGCTGCCTTTTAGCACGTGGAGTTTTCCACACCAGGGGGCCCCCCCACTCAGTTTCCTCCAAAACCTCCGCCCTTCCCCTCCCTTTGTCTTCCTGCTTCCTCCCCTTCCTCCTACCCTAGCCTCCTTAGGAGAGGGGGTGATGTTGGGGGCGGGGAGGGAGATGGTGGGGAGGAAACAGGCATTTGGCATGGAGTTGGCAGGAATTTTAAAAGAGGTTAGGAACCCAGGATACCCCAGTTGTAGCCTCCAAGTGGAAGGTGGGGACCCAGTCCCCACCCAGCCTGCTTTGCCCCACACCCACCTTGTGCCAGGCTCAGCTTGGGCCTGTCTTGCTTCACTGCATACCTCTCATTCCACAGCCAAGCCAGCCCAGCTGGGGGATCGATTGGGGAGGAGGCCCCTGCGGGGAGCACAGGAGCCTGAGGTGGGGAGGAGGGGATTAGGAGCCTACACTTTGGCGCTGGCGATGTGTTGTGCAATTGCCTGGGTGCAGTAGGGTCAGCCCCTTGGAGACTGAGCCCCAGCACACTTGCCAGAAGAGAGCAGGGCTGCCCTGCTGTGTCCTTGAAGCAGGAAATGAGACTGGCTACACCAGGACAGGTGCTCAGCTTGGGGTGGGAACCCAGAGGTTTCTAATCCATCATAATTAGCAGAGCTGGTGACAGTTCTGATAACAATGAGCTGCGTAGATTAGCCATGGGATCACCTAAGCCTGAGATTCATCCCCCCTCTGGGACCCTTGGCAGCAAGATCAAGCTTGTTGCCGAGGGTCAAAGACCAACCCACCAAATGGGAGAAATCAAGTTCAGGAAGGTGAAGTTTGCAGGAAAGCAACCTCTGATGGCTTCACCCTGGATCTGCAGGACCGAAACCCAGGACAGTCCAGTGCCGAGTAATGCATATGTGTGGGGAGCTTGGATCTGTGGTCACAATTCTTACTGCGACCTATGAGATGAGGAGGAGGAGCTTTAGTTCACAGCAGCAGAAGTGAACCCGTGGGGTCCAACTTTATTCTGTGTCACTTTGGTAAATGATGGGATCTGGTGCGAATCTAGGTTGGTTGGACGCCAGAGCCATTGGTTTCCCCCACAGACCCTGTTCCCTTCTTCAGCCTTAATCTTCCTGGAAGACTCAATGCCCCAACCCTTAGGTCTTCCAGTTTCCTGAATTGTTCTCACCAACAGCAACAGGTAGTGCCTCTGCTCCCTGCTCTTTCCCTGTTGAAGGCTGCCGTGCCTGTCCGTGGTCACTGTCTGTCTCTTCTTGTCCCTCTTATTCCATTCTCTGGCCCCTGATGAAAGCTGAGTCAGAGACACGCTTCCCCTTGGCTCCCAATGCCTCCCATGGGGGCCCCTCCTTGGCTGCATCCGTTAGTCACTCCCCGGTAAGTCCCCCCCCCACACCCTGTGGGGCGGGGAACCCAGGGCAGCCAGAGGCAGTGGACTTTTGGCCCGTTTCGTTTATTCCTTACATCTCATCAACATCTGCCACGGGCTCTTGGCTCATTCCTCTGACTGCTGACCTGCAGGGAAGCAGAAACCCAGAAAGAGAAGGAAGGCAGAAACCCGGAGACAGACCCGGAGACAGACCTGGAGACAGACCTGAGGCCGAGGCTGCCGCTGGCCTTCTGCCCTCCCCCTCTCTCTCTTCCCACACTGCCCTAACACCTCTCCCTAGCCAACGCCCGTCAAGGTCCCCTGGGGCTCAGCCCTTCTCCCTCTGGGGCCACAGGTGCCCCTCAGGGCCTGCGTCCCACCATGTCAGTGGCTGTGGAGACCTTTGGCTTCTTCGTGGCAGCTGTGGGACTGCTGATGCTGGGTGTGACTTTGCCAAACAGCTACTGGAGAGTGTCCACTGTGCATGGGAATGTCATCACCACCAACACCATCTTCGAGAACCTCTGGCACAGCTGCGCAACCGACTCCTTGGGAGTCTACAACTGCAGGGAGTTCCCGTCCATGCTGGCCCTCTCCGGTACAGGGTGGAGGGTGAAGGGAGCAGAGGGAGGGTGGGAGGTTGGAGAGAGCTCTGGGAGTTTGGGTGCTGCCTGGGTCTGGCCGTGGGTGCCGTACAGATGGGAGAGGCCTGACCAAGCTCAGAAGGGCTCCTGCAGAAGGGATTGCTGAGGGTAGCTGCCTGTCTAGAACTGCAGCGGTGACCTGGTCACACGTGGCCCCCTGCCCTCATGTGCCACTTGGTCTCAGTGGTGTGCAGGCACCAGGATTAGACGGCCAGGCCAGCGCCTGCTGTGTCCTAGCTCTGTGCCTTGCGCAGGTGGTAAAATGAGCTTTATTTGACCCATCTGTAAAATTAGAATCATAATAGTTGTGGGGACTTTAAGAAATAAAAGGTGAAAAATGTTAACATGATGTTAGCATCTGTATGCACTCAAACAATGTTAGCATGTTAGTGTTGGGTTGGGAGTGCTGGGGTTTGTAGGGTGAAGAGGAGGCCCCATCTTGGATTCTTGGGAGTTGAGACAATCTCCGTAGCCTCACAGGCTCCCACGGAGACGCCAACGCCGTGGCAAATGGGAAAGGACTGTTTTAAGGAGTCCTGGGTGTCTAACGCAGGGGTCCTCAAACTTTTTAAACAGGGGGCCAGTTCATTGTCCCTCAGACCGTTGGAGGGCTGGACTATAGTTTAAAAGAAAACTATGAACAAATTCCTATGCACACTGCACATATCTTATTTTGAAGTAAAAAAACAAAACGGGAATATTTGTATTTGCATGTGGCCTGCAGGCCATAGTTTGAGGACCCCTGGTCTAATGTGAGCAGGTGAGAGGGTGTGTATGTGTGTTCGAGGTTCCTGGAGGTGTATTTTTTCAGTTCTTGGTGAGCTAGAGCCTACAGCTCTTTTGGCCGAGAAAGGTTCTCCCTGGTAGCTGTAGCATCTTCCTGTTTCCTGCTCACCCTATGAGTAGCCCCCCATTACTCCCTAGGGGAGTCTCCCTTCAGTCGGCCCCATACCAAAAACCAAGAGGGGATGATGACCAGGAACCCTCTGCGGTGCCATTCCCACAGCCTCACTGGGTTCTCCCGGAGCCTTCTCACTCTTCCGGGTCCCCTCTGCAGGTGCCGGAGGTAGGGGAAGGAACGGAGGCCAACACTGGGTTAGAGCAGGGCTACACCCAATCCCCCAGGAATGTCAGAGATGCTCTGAGCAGTTAGGGGGTCCAGGTGGGTCTCTTGTGTCCCCACTGTTCCCAGAATCTCCCAGAGCAGTTGCAGAGGCTTCATCTTTTCATCACTTTCTCTAGGACTTAACAAGGCAAGTGCCCCATCTCCCCCCGCCCCCCCCAAAACAAACAAATTATAAAAGCTAGTATGAACTGAGCCAGAAGCCCAGAATGCTGAGTGGCCAGAAGGGACACGGGAGGCAGCCAGCTCAGCAGCCCTGGCCATCCCTCACATACCTCCCAACCACACCGTGAGGAAGGGCCTTTGCTGTGAGCTGCCTTTGAACTGCTGCTCCTGACCTGAGAGAGAGCATGAGTGTGCATGAAAGATGAAGAGGCAAGAGTGGGCTTGGGGGAAGGGCAGAGTGCAGCTGCCATGCTGAGGGGCATCTTGGTTCCGGGTGTGGTGCTGGGTACTTCACTGCACCATTTTAGGGCTGCTTACAATAGTTCTGCTGTTGGGGGTGTTAGTAACTTATTTTTAGAGAACCGGGGAAACTGCAGGCATAAGCATTAATGTACCCTGAGGCACACAGGTTGGAATCCTGACTTGTGTTTGAGTCTAGAGCTGGCTGACCTCCAAGGCTGGTTCTAGGGGTCCTGCCATTTAGTCACCTCCAAGCTGTGCACCCCTAGCCTGCAGCCTTCCGGCCCATGTTCCCACAGGCCCTTTAATTACCCTTTGTCTACCAGAGCTGGTCTGCCCAGGTGGAGGTGGGTAGATGGATGGGTGGGAGGGAATAGGATATGCGGCAGGTGAAGAGGGCGGGAACTCCAGAGGGAATGGCTGGGAGTGAGAAAATGCTCCCAGAGAACTTTGTCCCTCCTCCCTACCCCCCAGCTCCATGCCACTAAACATCCTCTTGGCAGGGACCCAGCCTTTCCCCTTCAGCACTGATGGCACTGCCCCACCTGGGAAAGGAGTGCAAGGTCCTTGGGTGCTTGGCAACTATCAAAGTCAGGGAGGGGGGAAGGGGAACCAGGAAGGAAGCCAGCCATTTCCTTCAGCTTTGAGAAAGGGGAAACTGAGGCACTGAAAGCACATGTGCAAAACTGACTTGGCTTGGTCCTGGGCCCAGGTAATCCCACCTCCCAGATTAGAAACTGCCCTGGACCCAGAGACCCATAGGCCACTGCTGCCCCCTACTGATCACTCAAGGAAGAAGCTCAGGTGAGGATGTCTGGCACTGTGCTAGGTACTAGGTGGGACCTGGAGAGAGGCAGGTGTGGGAAGGGGCTGGGGTTACACAGGTGATTTCTGCTATGCACAGCAGAGATTGGTGGTGATGTAGCAGAACAGTGGTTCTCAACTAGGCGATTTTGCCCCCCAGGGGTCATTTGACAGTCTACAAATTTAATTGTCCCCCTTGAGGAGACTACTGACATCTAGTGGTGGAAGCCAAGGATGCTGCTAAACACCCTATAATGGGCAGGATGGCCCCCCAGAACAAAGCATCATCCGGCCAAGTCAGTAGTGCTGAGAACCCCTATACAGAGGCGGAGGTGGAGGTACAGGGGAAGTGCACTGGTGCAGGTGGCAGGGCAGGAGGGGCTGAGACTCCTTGGGACTGAGGTGAGCTCCTGGGAAAGAGGGGGTGTGACCCCTCAGCCTATAGGCTGGATGGACCCCAAGGGGAAGAAGAGGATTTGAACTTCAAGGGACTGAGGCCTGAGCAGGGGCTGTAAGGGGCTGGCTGTCACTGAGGGGAGAGGAGATGGAGGGGCAAGCGGCTGGCTCGGGGACCCATGCTGTAACCCACCTCCCCAGGGTACATCCAGGCCTGCCGGGCACTCATGATCACCGCCATCCTCCTGGGCTTCCTGGGCCTCTTCTTGGGCATGTTGGGACTGCGCTGCACAAACATTGGGACCTTGGTGCTCTCCAGGAAAGCCAAGCTGGCGGCCACTGCCGGGGCCCTATACATACTGGCTGGTAATTGAGGAGGGTGATGGGTGGGCCCTGCACTGTGGTGGGGGGTTGGGAGTAGTCCTCGCAACAGACCCCAGGGGTCTCTGTCTGCTCCAACTCCAACTCCTTCCCCTCTGCATCGACACCTGCCCTCCCAGGCTAAGCTCTTCCCTCTCTCCTTGCTCACCTCAGCTTCACATGCACTCACCAAATCCCTTGGCTACAAATCAGCCCATTAGCAATGTTTCCTGAGCCCCCACAGGAGCTAGGCAGAGGCAAGGTGGGGAGAGATTCCAAAGGGGAAAGTGAGGGTCTGCCCTCCCAAGCTTACAGCCTGGCTGGGAAGATCAGAGTCAGGGTATGTGTGTCCACACACACACACACACACACACACTGGGAAGATCAGAGTCAGGGTATGTGTGCCCACACACACATACACACACACACACACACACACACACACACAGGGAAGATCAGAGTCAGGGTATGTGTGTCCACACACACCACACACACACACACACACACACTGGGAAGATCAGAGTCAGGGTATGTGTGTCCACACACACACACACACACACACACACACACACACACACACACTGGGAAGATCAGAGTCAGGGTATGTGTGTCCACACACACACACACACACACACACACACACTGGGAAGATCAGAGTCAGGGTATGTGTGTCCACACACACACACACACACACACACACACACACACTGGGAAGATCAGAGTCAGGGTATGTGTGTCCACACACACACACACACACACAGTGCGCAGACACTGGCTCTCCCTTTTCGGTTTGTAAAGCATACCTACACACATCACTTCATAAGCCTGTGAGGGAAGGAGGGTCTCGTCCTGAACTCCAGGTGTGGAAATGGGCTCAGAAAGGTCAGGGGACCTACTGGAAGACAAGCCCTAGCGAGTGGCAAGGCTGGTCCTGTAGTCCACTGGCTTCAGGCTTTCCCTGAGTGGCAGAGGCACGTCACAGGCTCTGAGGCAGTGGTTCTCAACCTTCTGGCCCTTTAAATACAGTTTCTCATGTTGTGACCCAACCATAAAATTATCTTCGTTGCTACTTCATAACTGTAATGTTGTTACTGTTAGGAATCGCAAAGTGGGCGACCCATGTGAAAGGGTCGTTCAACCGCCAAAGGGGTCGCAGCCCACAGGTTGAGAACCACTGCTCTGAGGGTTTGGGGAGGTCAAAGGACACAGGTGTCAGGCAGACAGGGCTAGCTGGGCCTCTAGGAAGGACGGGGCATAGTCCCAGTGGGGACACTAAATGATCACGGCGCTGGAGGGCAGGAAGGACAAAGCTGGCCGGGGATGAAGGGGGGACAGGGCTGGCTGAGGAGCAGAGTATGGGTTGGGTCTTGGGTTCACAGTTGGCCCTAGAAAGGTCATGAGCTGGGGAGAGGAAGAAAGGGAGGGAATGAAATTTGCTCTTGGACTTGATAACCCCACAGCCTACTCTCTAGGCTGCTCCTGCTTGGCCCTCCCCCTAGTTCCCTAGGGGCCTAGGGCTCCAGTGCATTCTCTCCCTGCGCTAGGTTGCTGCGGGATGGTGGCCATCACCTGGTATGCCTCCAACATCACCCGGGACTTCTTTGACCCCTTGTATCCCGGAACCAAGTGAGTGTGGGAGCCCCACCCTGGGGGTGGAACTTGGACATGTCCCGGAGCTAGCACCCCTTGCGTTGTTTTGTCCCCAGGTATGAGCTGGGCCCTGCGCTCTACCTGGGCTGGAGTGCCTCCCTGCTGACCATCCTGGGCGGTGTTTGCCTCTGCTCCAGCTGCTGCTGTGCTCCCGAAGAGGACCACGCCACCAAGTAAGGGAGGGTGAGCTGCTGTGGGGAGGGGGGGGACAGCGAGGTTGCACCTCCTTCTGACCAGCCCCTCCCTTGCCAGCACCCGGCTGCCCTACAAGGCCTCCACAGTGCGGTCCACTGGCCCCGCTGCCCATGGGCGCCCCGCAGCAACCTCGTATGAAGACGACGTCAGCTTCGGCAAATACGGGAAAAACGCTTACGTGTAGGAGGCCTGGCCTATGGATCCTATTCCCTTCCCACTGCCCCCAGTGGAAAGGGGTCCCTCGAACCCCGGACAGCAGGCGCAGGCCCCTGCTTGGTGTTACCACCTCAGAGGCAAGCCATGCCCCAGGGCCAAGCCACTCCCAGGACTCCACCTCAGGCCTGAAGCCACACCCAGCTCAGGCTCCTCTCTGTAGTCTGCCCTGGCTACGGGCTACGCTTCCCTCCTCTGGCCAAGAAGCTGCCTCCTGAGGACTCACTTCGGACTCCTGAGACTGCACCTGACCCCTCTCTATCCTGAGGCTGGGGTCTGAGCGATTAGGCCGGCGGGGACACCCCGAGTGCTTACATTCTATATAAATACATGCTTAAATAAATTTGTATTGTGAACTTTCAGGGGCAACTGGCCAAGCAGGAGTTGACTGGGGCAATACCCAGAGTCATCTCAGTTCTGACACCCAACTGTCACCTGTGCCCTCTCCATCACCTTTGGACTATCTAATCCCGCAAAACAGGCAGGGTTGCAAGTGATTTCAAGAGTGTGGCACTCTTTTGACCCTGACTGGTTTGGCTCAGTGGATAGAGCGTTGGCCTGTGGACTGAAGGGTCCCAGGTTTGATTCCTGTCAAGGGCATGTACTCTGGTTGCAGGCACGTCCCCAGTAGGGGGTGTGCAGGAGGCAGCTGATCGATGTTTCTAACTCTCTACCCCTCTCCCTTACTCTCTGTAAAAAAAGAGTGTGGCACTCTTTTTTATTTTTTTGGTTAATCCTCACTCAAGGATATTTTTTCCATTGATTTTTTTTTTTTCCTTTTTAGAGAAAGTGCAAGGGATGGGGAGAGACAGAGAGAAACATCAATGTGAGAAAGACACATCAACTGGTTGTCTCCCACACGCATGCTGACTGGGGTTGAGGATCAAGTCTGCAACTCAGGTACAAGCCCTTGACAGGAATCGAACCAGAGACCCTTCAGTCCGTAGGCCGACGCTCTAACCCAGCAGTTCTCAATGGTTCTCAACCTGTGGGTCGCAACCCCTTTGGTGGTCGAACGACCCTTTCACAGGGGTCGCCTAAGACCATCCTGCATATGAGATATTTACATTATGATTCATAACAGTAGCAACATTACAGTTATGAAGTAGCAACGAAAATAATTTTATGGTTGGGTCACAACATGAGGAACTGTATTTAAAGGGCCAGAAGGATGAGAACTACTGCTAACCCCTTGGCACACCAGCCAGGGCAAGAGTGTGGCACTCTTATAATTACTGATAAGAGTCATCAAGGAGCAGATGGGGAAGACCCAGCTCTAGGAAACTGGTCAGCTTGAGATAACAAGTCACTCGCTTACTCTCAACCTTTCTTCACAGCTATACAAGGATACAGATGGTCTAGACCAGCCGTGGGCAAACTACGGCCCGCAGGCCAGATCCGGCCCGTTTGAAATGAATAAAACTAAAAAAAAAAAGACTGTGCCCTTTTACGTAATGATGTTTACTTTGAATTTATATTAGTTCACACAAACACTCCATCCATGCTTTTGTTCCGGCCCTCCGGTCCAGTTTAAGAACCCACTGTGGCCCTCGAGTCAAAAAGTTTGCCCACCCCTGCTCTAGACCAGTGGTTGGCAAACTGCGACTCTTTGGCCCCTTGAGTGTGGCTCTTCCACAAAACACCGACTTCTGCGCATGGACCACGAAGTTTCAATCACGCTGTACGTGCGTGCCAGCACGTGGTATTTTGTGGAAGAGCCACACTCAAGAGGCCAAAGAGCCACATGTGGCTTGCAAGCCGCAGTTTGCTGACCACTGGTCTAGAGCAGTTACTTTACCTGGGCCTGAGAGTGGATATCAGAAACTGACCAGCCCTTTAAAATTGTGTCACATCAAGGGTCTGGTGCAGGTACATTTTTCTGGGGAAGGTTCAATAACTTCCAGAAAAGGCTCTGAACATCTGTTCACAGAGTCTTGCATATCAGTGGCATGTGTGACTCCATGGTCTCCAGTTCAGGCATAGCACTGGGTACTGAACAGCCTTGGTACCCACTTAAGACTGGAAAATGAGGCAATTAGAAAGAAGCTGGGCATCTAGTGGAAGATGATAGGGCCTTAACCTGGTACCTTCCCTTGTAGCACCGACTACAGTGACCTCGGCCTTTTCCCGTTTCCTTTTCATCCCCTCTGCTCACCTGTGCTCTCTCCTGGGATGTAGAGATACTCACAACTACATCCTCACAGCCCTCTCTCCAGAGCTTCAGAAGTACATGCACCCCCTGTGTTGCACAGGCTGGGCAAATTCATTACTTTCTCCCAAAGCCACAGTTCCTTCACTCCTATTAACATTATCGTCAACTTCTCAGTCACACAGAACAACCTCAATCATCTCTGGCTTCTCCCTTCACTTCCCCTCCCCTCAGCTGCCAAATCCCATCAGTTTCCCCTCCAGTGTCTTCACATCTACCTACTTCTCTCCCCTCCCTGGTCCTGGTCAGGCCCTCATTCTCCCTTGCCCAGACTAGTCATAGGGTTTCCCTAATTGAGTTTTTTAAAAAAATGTTTTTATTGTTTTTAGAGAGAGAAAGGGAGAGTGAGATAGAAACATCAATGAGATTCCTGCGGGGAATCTCACTCACAACCTGGGCAAGTGCCCTGACCAGGAATCAAACCAGCGATCTCCTGGTCCATGGGTCAATGCTCAACCACTGAGCAACACAAGCCGGGCCTGGAACATCATTTATTGTCCTGCCCTGGGAGTTCCCCGATGGCTCAGAAAAATGAACAAGGACAATTAAGACCCTGACACACTGCCTGGCCCTAGCCCATATTTTTTTATCCCCACTTCTTATCCCTCTGTACAGTTGTACTCTTCCAGCAAGCTGGACTGTTCCACTGGCCTTGGACACACATTTGCATCAAGGCTTCCCACTGGGCTTCACCCAGAAACAGTGGTGTTTTTTGAGTCCACAAAAATCTGTATATCCTACCCACTTCAGACTCTGCTTTTGGGCAGTCCCCTGGCTAAGTCCAAAGCCCATAAGGGACCGTAGAGTGCAGACACCCGGAAGTGTGTTTTGTAGGGGTCTTTACTGTAACAATCTACCATGGCACGTACCAGGCCACCTGACTTGCTTTGTTAGCAAACCAATTGTAGTTTCTCTCTCTGGATGAGACACACATCTTTGAAAGGGTCTTACAATTCTGAAAGGCCATGAAAATGCCACAGAGATGCCTGTATACCCACATTGAAGGACAGAAGCCAGTTGCAACTCCTGATAACTGCCACCCAAGCACCTCCAACCCAAATTCTCCCTCTACCATCCCCCACAGCTTCTACCTCCGTTCCCACACTCCATCCTGCCTCTTCTCTCCTCCCCATTACCGGAAAACTAGCCTTAGCGAGGTCTCACATTTGAGCATTTAAATAAGCCTTAATGTGATCACCAGGTTAGGTTTTAATTTCTTTGTCAATCAGTCATGGTCACATGGCTGTAAAGGGCTATCGACATGTTCTTTCCTAGAAGTTAGAGCACTAAGACATAACCCCTGCCCTAAAAATCTCACAAGATAGGAGCAAAGAGAAATGTAAACAGCTAGTTACCATATAATGGACAAGATGCCAGGGTTACTCCAAAGAATCCTCTAGTTTTTTAAGGAACTGGCTATGAAAATGCTCCACAACAAACTGCTTTAGGTCTTGGGCAATAAGGTCAATAGCTATCATTTTCTGAGTACTTTCTAGATGCCAGACGCTGGGCTAGGTCACTGCCTCACTTAATCCCCACAATATCTGGGAGGTGGCTATGCAGTCAGAGAGGTAAAATGACCTATCCAAGCTACACAATCCGTAAGCAGTAGGACCAAGATTTGTCCAAGACTGAAGATACACCGGGTCTGCTTCCCAGAATTCCTGGCTCTCCAAACTAATTCCCATCAATCAGAGTCAGCACTCACTGAGGTCTTTAGCTATGAGCCCCCCAAGCCTCCAGCCTTCCAGATCATAGCATTAACCTCTTCTGCTCCTGTGTGCCCAGGCAGGGGCTGTGGGGCCCCACCAAACAACCCTGGCTTTGGCCGCTAGAAGCTTTTGGCATAGTGTAGATTTCCCAAAGGTCTGGGTGCCTCCTAAGGTGGGGACCAAGTTTCCACTAGTACACAGGAAGCTGGCAAAAGCTGGTCAAGGCTTTTCTTGAGGAGCCGTGGTTTTAAATGGGAGTCTGGAGACCCTTCCTAGAGAATGTCAGCGATGACTTGTAGAGACAGCCCATGTTAGAGCAAGGGAGGGCCTTGGGGTCTGGCTCTGTCCTATCAAGGTCAGTTGGGTCAGGCCAGTGGTCGGCAAACTGCGGCTCGCGAGCCACATGTGGCTCTTTGGCCCCTTGACTGTGGCTCTTCCACAAAATACCACATGCGGGCGCGCATGTACAGTGTGATTGAAACTTCATGGCCCATGCGCAGAAGTCGGTATTTTGTGGAAGAGCCATGCTCAAGGGGCCAAAGAGCCGCATGTGGCTCGCGAGCCGCAGTTTGCCGACCACTGGGTTAGGCTGAGTGTGTCAGTGAGCAGACAAACCTCACACCAAGCAGAACCCGTGTGATTGTTTTTAGAACAACAAAATATGAAATAAAGTTCGTGAACTTAGGAAATAAACCAAAGAGATTGTGCTGACTCAGTGGAAATCTGACAGGAATTCCAAGGCAGGTGGAACACAGCCAAGCACAGGTGGTGCTTCTCTGCAAGGAAATCATCTTTTCTTCTAGTTTCTTTCTTGAGTGTACTTCTTGGTGGAGAGGAAAAAAGAAAGATTAGAACCCAGGAAAGTTTCTCTTCCTGAGAGAGACAATAAACTGAGGCCAGGAGTTAGCAGCCAGCAAGCTGGATTAGTGATGTCCCAGTTACTACTGCATAACAAACCATCCCAAGACTCTGACTGCCTGCCAGATCGCCCCTAACTGCTCGCCTACCTGCCTGATGGCCCCTAACTGCCTCTGCCTCAGCCCCTGCCACTGTGGCTTAGTCCAGAAGGATGTCAGAATGACGTCTGGAAGGTCATTCGGCCGTCCAGTCTAATTAGCATATTATGCTTTTATTATTATAGATATGCATTACCCATGAACACAGACAATAGGGTGGTAGGAGGCCTGGGGCAGGACAGGAACCAGTTGAGGGGGGTAATGGGGGGGGGGAAAGAGGGACATCTCTAATATTCTCAATAAAAATTATTTTTAAAATATAAAAAAATTATTTCCTTAAAAAAACACACACACACACTTAGAAGATGTGTGGGTGGAAGAAGCTCTAGTTCCACCCAAGAGTTATAACATCCAGGGGCCCCAAGAACAGGAGCCTCTACACCATGAATTCCTCCATGCCTCCCAG